CCGCCTATCTGGTCGTGTGAGGACCACTCTAGGCGGCTAACAACATAAAACATAATACAAAAAATATACATATAAAACAATTTTACATTACCAAAAATACTGAAATAGAATGGGAAAACTGAGGAAAAGGGGAAAAAAGAGGGCGTCAGGAATTATCTGATTCTATTTGACATCCTGTCAAACCGAGCTCCAGCCATCCTGTGCCATTGAGTCCAACTGGGTTTCTAGTGACAGATGTGGATGCAGGAGTCCTTTCAAGCAAAGTTGATGTGTCTTCAGGAGAAGTGAAGTCTGAGGCAGTTTGCTTGCTCAGTTCCTGGACAGGTGTGGGTTTGCACTGTTCATGTGTCGAAGTAGAAATTTCAAAATCTGCTTGACATTACTGCAGCAGCTTCATTGCAAGTGAGACCATTGCAAGTGAGGATGTCTTTCCATAGATAGTTCACTGGATTGAGGTCTGCAAATCTTAGCACCTCATCTGGGAATGAGTCCTGTTGAACTCAGATGGACATATGCCTGGGTCAAGTACAGGAGTACACTGTCAGTCAAAATGCTAATGAGTCTACGTTTGAAAGTTCAGTTTCGCCTTAACTCTGTATAAATAGTGAACATGTCAGAAAATAAGCCAGTAAATGAATTAATTAGCAGACCCCATATGGCATTGCCTTGCTTCTCCCCTGGATTTTTTTTTTATGTGACAGGGTTCTCTTCTCCACAGATATGGCTACTAAATTCTGACACATTTTTGGTGGAATCTGCAGGAAACATGGCACCCATTAAAGTTTTTACATTGCTTGAATTTGGCATGTCATCTGACTCAAGACCTTCAGAGATTTGGAAAGCTGTTAAAGTTCTTTACCATCCCTGTGTTAAAAGCAGAAATAAGGAGTAAGTATCAACTGTGCTTGTGCCTGTTACGAAAGCATTGTACTGATGTGTTCTTTCTTGCCAGTGTTTCTCAAACATGAAATATAGTTCCTGCAGATCAGTTCATGTCCAAGGAAATGAGATCTGCTTTAGAAATCCTTGTTTCAGCTCACTGACAGTAGATAAAGGATCACATCTAACACTTCTGTGTGGCCCTTTACACCACATGTGTCAAACTCAAGACCCATGGGCCAAATCTGGCCTGCCGGGTCATTCCATGTGGCCCTTGCAGTGTTGCCGGCTACTGTGCAGTATATAATACAGTACACAGGTGCCTACTTGGTCACCTATAATGCTCCACAAGGATGCTGGCAACCCACCCAGCAGGACTTCTAATCCCACCATTCCAAGCAGCGAAGAGTCAGAAAGTGATAATTAAATGACTAGGATTATATTTAATATGATAAAGAGTAGATACATTTGGAAACATAGTCTTACTGATACAACTGGCCCCTTAAGGGCAAGCATAAAGTCAATTCAGCCCAAGAAGAAATTGAGTTCTACACCTCTGCTGTACACAGTCCAAATGTAGAGGTGATACTTTTATTTAGACCACTAAAAACCAAACAATCAGCACACGCTTTTGTAAGTAAAATTTCACTTCATCAGGCCTAAGGGTGAATAATTGTAAATGATTGTCCCAAAATGATCAAGTCAGAGATCTTCAAGACAGTGCTTGTGGCCCAAAATAATCAAATCAATACGGGCTTGGCCATACGGCTGGCAGGCAAGGTTGCATTTTAGTACCAAATCTCTCTCTCCAGACATGAGATGCCATGTGGAACTTCCAGTGACCAGTCTGAGAGAGTGAGAGTGATAACACCTGCTCCCCCTTCACACCTGAGTCTTGTGGAACTAATGGGTCTCATGACACCAGGGAAGGGAAATGGCTACTTGGGCCCAATTTGGACATTGTCACTTAGGGGTTTACTCACTTTTGTTGCCAGCGGTTTATACATTAATGGCTGTGTGTTGCGTTATTTTGAGGGGACAGCACATTTACACTGTTCTACAAGCTGTATACATGCTACTTTACATTGTAGCCAAGTGTCATTTCTTCAGTGTTGTCACATGAATAGATATACTAAAATATTTATGAAATGTGAGGGGGTGTACTCACTTCTGTGATATACTGTATGTGCACTAGCGCTCATACAAACATACACAGAGAAATGTAATCATGATATGAATGAGTATGTTTATTCAAATAAAATGTTTATTCTCAAAATTCAAATGTTGATTGTTTTTAAGAGATGAATGAAAGGATTTTATTGCCTGGTTGCACCTGATTTTTAAGTATCAGGCAGCCAAAAATATAGAGTTTTGACTCACCCTTAACCATAATCAACTTTAGCCTGAATGTGCTACAAGAGTAGGGTTTTTTTTCTGTAGCAGACTTATACAGTTACCACTCTGCAGGTTTATTTGTTATTACTTACTACATTGTTTTTAAATTTAAAAAGGAGCCCTGAAAGAATGAATTTGTCATTATCCTGGAACATGAGTTTGTCATCGGATTTTAATTTCTCTACATTGTTCTCAGTTTGATTTAACAAGTCTGCACTCTCTGAGAGATTGTTTCTCTTCCTTATGTGTCACACTTAATGTGGTAAAGAACCAATTTACATGCTAATCCTTTTTTGTACCTCTGGAAGCAGCTGTTGCAGTGGAAAAGACTTTCACATTTGCTGCCTGTTCATTGGTAACTTCATCAAATTATTTAGTAAGCCTGACCGCTGTGCTTGGTACTTCCCCGTTTTTCCAAACTCTGGACACATTCGCCTGAGTAGCTGGTTAGCAGTGACCCATTTGTGCCTGGCTAAATCCCATTCCCTGCATATACATAGCTAACCTTATATAATTCCATTTTGCAAGCATGTAGAAGAGAATGCCCTTTTCTTTCTCTAAGGATGAAGGCAATGGGACCGAGCATATCAGATTGTCTCCTTCAACTATGCAGGGTTTTGCCCATAATGAAGCTGCTTCCAGAACCTCTCCCCCCATCCACCCCAATACCGCTCTAAAACTTAATGACAAATATATTAATCGCTTGTTTTTTTTACTGACAGGGAACGTACTAAGGAGGGAATGTGAGCTTTTTGTTTTCTTGGTGTTTGTAAACCTCCCAGCAATTAGTAAGCACTTCTGTAATTGGGAAAGATATTATGGAGGATTTCAAATATCAAGTTCTTAATCCATGGGTAGGCATTACTGATCTCCTGAAACATTATGTATTCAAAAGACAGAATTAGATACTCTAATGAGAGTTCTGATATCTTTGTTCCGCAGCACAGAAAGCAGTACAGGCCGCTTTTGTCTAAATCTCTTTCTTTTAAATGTTGTCGGAAATGTTCTTGCACTCACAGTAAGAACTGCAAGAAAGAATGTCACTTGAGTATCAGGGGAATAATAAATCCCATAGTAATTTATAGCCACCAGAAATCAAAAACACTTTCTCATTGCCGGAGTTGTGCCAGCAAAGATAGATTCAGGATCTGATGATTGTATTCTTATGACAACAGTGCTGTCAAAATTCACAAGGACAGTTAAAAGTTAACTCTTGTCATTTCATGCATAGCAGGCAATTTCTCCCAATGCCTTTGAAAGCTGGCTCTCCACATTCATGTTTTATTATAAAAGATTTGTTTGCCGATTGGGCATTTTTAATAAACATGCAAGGTTTTGAAGACCGCAGTCATTATTAAGGAACATTATAATTTTTATAAGAGTGTGGCTATATAATAAAATAAAAACAACTGAGGTTGCAGGTAAAAGACAATAACAATACTTCTAAGTAGAAACCCATAAAACAGTAATACAGTTGAAACAGAGTAGCAGATATTCCGGGGAAAAATACCGATTTTGGGATTTTGATTATTTATATGAAAAGCTTAAAGCAATATGACCCACTGCATTGATGCTGTCAAAGCAAAATGAATACACGTGAGTCCCACAATTCGGTGCCATCACTGAAAGAGTTCTCTCTTTTTTTAAGCTCAAAATGAGGAAGATCTGAAATTGAATGGCAGGCAGTGGAAGGAGATTTTTCAATGAACCTGGTGCCAGGCTATTTATAGTTTTAATGCTAAAGCCAGCACCTTGAATTGAGATTGGTAGGTAGCGCGTGAAGATCTTTTATATTTGCTAAATGGGCCTCTGACGCTCAGTTCAAGATATCAATCAGAAAATTGTGTTTTGAACTAATTGTGCTTTGTGGTTGCTCTTCAAGACCAGCCCCGAGTATAGTAGATTTGAGTAATCTGAAGTAATGTTGGGGCCAAAACCTTTTCCTTGATATGCTAGTTTTCTATATGCAAGGAGGTTTCTGTTAGTATGGGGGAGCATCCAGATATAGCTATCACTCCTTGTCAGCTGAAGCAGATCAATCTCAGAAAGCTTAATCAACAGACTATAAACTGGCCTTTCACCATCATGTTACACAGGGTCATTGGTCTAAAAAACCAGTGATTCCCAACCTTGGTACCCCAGGTATTCTTGAAATAAAACTCAGAAGCCTTCACTACTAGTTGTTCTGGCCAGGATTTCTGGGAGTTGTAGTCCAAGAACATCTGGGGACCAAAGGTTTGGAACCACTGTTCAAAACATTGCAGGATGAGAGCCATCTAAATATGTGCCCTCCAGAACATAAAACTGACAGGTTTATTTGCCTAAGATATTAAAAAATATATATGATTGCCATTTTTATAAGGAACACGACTAAGCTCCCTGGTAGTTGGACATTGCCTTTGTAATTCTGTTTACTTGAAAATGAGATTATTATGTCTGCATGTAATCTGTCATTAGCCACAGTCCATAATGATTTATCATAATTGGCTGCTTTACATCCATTTCAAATAGCTATGCACATGCATTTTGACAGTCTCTTCCCTAAGGCTGTATTAGTCAGCGCAAGCTCAGACTGCTAAGTTGACACTTTTTCCTCTCTTAACTCATGTAAGTGTAAAAATTTTATGAGGCGTCTCTAACGAGACCCATTGGGATTTGGGATTATTTATCTTAAGCTCTTATTAAAGACAAAAAGTTTTCTCCCCTATGTTTAGCCAGGTAAAAAGTAAAGCTCTCTCTCTCTCTCTTTCTTTCCAAAGGAGGTACTGTTGTTTTAAGAGTAAATAAGATTTGACAGAGAGTATCAGCCATCAAGGGGAGAGGGGGGCTGTCTCTACTCTGTTGGGCTAAATGTATTTTGCCCAGGTAAGTGCTGACTGTGACAGCATGCCCCAGAATTGTAAGACTATTTCTCTGGATTAGAGTGGCTTGTAGAGGAGCAAACGAGTTTTTCTGCCAGGAAATAGTGAATTCTGGTGTGTTAAAAAGCAGTGTGCTTAGAGACAAATTACCCCCATTACTCTCGTATAGCACTGAGTGTGGACAAGCAGCTTCCACTCAAGAAAGGAGAACCTGAAATATTATAAGCCCTCAAGAGACCATGTCACTGTATTTCTGAAGAAGGAAATGCTACAAAAGAATATACTTTTTTTGTTCTTACCTAAGGAGGGAAATGATGCACCTGTTATTCTAATGTCCTTATTTTGCACCCACAACCTTGAATTCTGGATGTACTCCTGGCCATTTTGTGGCCCAGCTTGGACACCATGCCACACCATGGTTAAATATATTTTGGGATGACTCTGAATTGGCAACACAACCAAAATCAGAGACCCTGGAGATGGAAAATGAAGAACAACAAAGGTGTAGTTCTAAATACTGCCTTGCTGAAATTACTGCTGGAGGTACTAGTCCATACACCTCACTTCCACTTGACAAGAAATAATATGGTAGAATATCTAAGCTTAGAAAGTTATTTTTTAAAATGAGTTAATGTTATAGCTCCAAGCTTCAAAAATTCACAATTTTAACATTCTCTCTTTCCCTCCTCTCTGTCCTCAAGGAAAGAATAGTATAGAATAGATGATGCAAGTTGAAGCAGTTTGCCTTCCAAT